TAGAGATACAGAATGTATGGACTGTCTGCCTCATTCTCTTCATGCATCTTCTCCTCATGTCTTCACACCCTCCCCTAACTTTGAAGAAAAAATCCTGTTTCATACAACCTGAGACTCATTTGCAAAGCTTTAGCCACCATTCCTTTAACATTGTACTCATCATGTTATTTTCTGAGACCATTACAACGTTGCAAAAAAGAAGTCAGATGGGGCAAAAAAACATCATGCAGCCCATAATACAGATTTCACAATTTTTTGCTTAATAGAAAAATAAAATTGTTATCCAAGCTTTCCATTTCAAACGTCCACACTCTCAATTCCTGGTTATACTTTGCACATGCACATTATGCTCTAAAATAGCTCCTTGGATAAGTGAGAACTGATAAAGTTGAGGTCTTGCAATCTACTATCTGCTCTCAAAGAGATCCAGTAGCTTACAAATGGTTTCTAATGGTATTCTTTGGACTCATAGCAATGAGTTTGATTTCTCCAAGGCAAAAAAAAAAGTCTTGGACACATCTTACTGATGTTACATGACGAGATGCTTTGATCAAATCCTTTGAATAGTCACAGACACACACACACACACACACACTCACACAGTAGAGAACAGTCACTTGCTGTGGTTAGAGCCATTATCTCCCCCTGTAAGAAATGAAAGTTGTCTGTGCCAGCAGCTTATTACTTACTACCCATGGTTATGTTTGGTTAGGTGACCTCTAACCGCTGTAATAATTTGGATGAGAGCAGAGGAGGATGCTGTATCCAGAGAAGTCAGGATGGTCAACAGAACTCAGGACATTTCCATTTTATATTCAATAGTCAATAATGATTATTTTAACTATGACCATTCCACAAAGTTAACTGTTTGTTAATTACTGTAGCCATGTCAATGAACATCCTCTATAACCTTACTTTAACACAAAACACAATATCATCCTCAATAAAGCCAATTAGTTTCTGTGCTATTAAAGTAACCATGACGACAAAGTTCCGGTACACCTGCTGCTGTATGGGCTCCAACTACAACAAAAGTTGTACTCATTAATCACATCAGAGGCTAGGGACAAATGACCTATGTGGTACTTCAGATTGAAGGACTTGTTGGTTACAGCTGCACACACACAAACACACACACACATACACACACACACACACACAGATGTCCATCCACACATAGATATTTTCTACAGCAATCAGAATGATAAATCTCCCACTGCACTATGATGAATTCCCTCTAAATGCTGTGCATGGTGCAGCCTGAACATGAAATATGGGTCACTGTGGAACCCTCCTGTGTCCATCTCTCACTGCATCAGGAACACTTTATTACTTTTAGTGAACGTGACTCTGCTGCTGAACACCTATGACATACATGACAGCAGACACACATCAACCACTGAGGTTCTACTTATTAATGTTCATTACCCGTGCTTTAATATACATCCTGTCTCAGTTATTACGGACAATGTGTTGCAAATTGCTCCAATAAAAATTTATTAAACTGAATCCCTGTGCTCGGCTGAATCTCGTTGTTAATCACTATGATTTAAAACATAAACACCTCTAGGTTTGATCATAAATAACTTCTTTTTTCATTTGTTTTAACAAATGAGAGAAACTCAGCTTTTTAAAACCAAACAAACGTCTCCTTGTCGGAGCGGTCTGATATCTCATCAGGCTTAACTGGCGCCTCGGGTAATGCACCTGATGGAAACTGAGACATGGAATAAGATTCAGAATATTAGGAAACTACACTAGTCATGTTCTGAATTCATAATCAACACTCAATAGGAGTCTAAGAGGTCTAAAGATAAGTTACGCATATTGGAAAAGCCATATGACCTCATCAAAAGAGGCCATTTTGTTCAATCACTGCACATATAATAGCAGAGACATGGCTGTAAAAGGAGCAGCTGATTCCACCAAATCAATACATTTCATTCAGGGCTGAAAACTTTGGATGAATTATCAATCACTGCATCTGTTGCTGAGTTCTTCCGCTGCCAACAACTTGACACTTTCCCTCTATGGATTAAGCCACTTTTGTCTATTTACAATTTCATCAGTTGCTATGTTTGCATGCAGCTCACAGTTTAAAAATCTTGTGATTTTTATTGCCAGTGCCAAGGCGGGAGCCAAAGGGATTCAATACACTGAGGAACGATTCAAAAAACAGCCTGAAACAGTGTTGGGCTTTGGACTACATTCACAGTGGCCATCTGCAAGCTGCTCTACACCAAGAACTGAGGCTGACTCGTCTAGAGGCATGATGGCAAAGCTGCATGATGCTGGCCCCAGAATAAACAAGTTATTTGACGGGACGACCATCATAAAAGCAACTATTGATGTTGCTCAGTTTTTTTCCTTCAGCATTGTTGCTTGTTTCGTAGCAGAAGTCTTGCTGGGTTGGCTGGCTTTCACATTGATTTCTGAAAGTGGTGATTGTCTCCACAGTTTGTATTAAACTGTTTGTCATTCAACTCTTACATGTCTTCATCGATATCCTCTTAGCGCCAGTGGATCTTTGTGCGCAGGCCGTCATTTGTGTCCATTATATTGACTCCACCATTCTTCTCTGTGTCAGGATCAATGGTGGTCATCCGGCGCGGTCTAATCTGAGGCGACCATTCCAGTTATTCCGGGATCAAATACTCTACACACGTGTCAGAATTCCCGTTCGCTTCATGCAAGCATGTAAGAGTATAGACGCACCAGGTGAAAAAAGCAAACGCACACATAAACACTTGCATAACTCACTGTGGACACGATCATGGGCTGTAGCACCAACGCCCACAAGCGCAGCAACACATGTTCACCATCACAAATGTATATCTATGCATACACATACCCCCACCCCACACAGCCCACTCAAGAAATCACTGTTAAATCCCCTGGACAACTGGTCAGCATACTAAACTGGGCGACGGGCACCTTCTGTCGTTCACACACACACACACACACACACACTCTTATCACACCCTTCTAATAAACCCTCTGTGTCCCCCATCCCCCAGGCCCCTGTCACCCCATGTGGAGCAGGTGGGCGACAGGCAGACCAAAGCCTCCGGTGCCGACCCCCCTCCCAAACTCACACACACACAACCACACACATGCTCTCTTTTACTCCGTTTTCTTTCTCACTCTCCCCGCACCTTGTTTTAATGACCACAGATATGTAACAAAGCTGTGCCACTTAAAGCAGCAGCCACCGTCAGCTATTAATTTGACATGCTTGGGAGGAAAACAAAAAAAGACCCCTATTGTGGCTTTCAACAGTATCCAATCAAGTCTGCCTCTCAATTAACTAGATGGCAAACAGCAAGAACAAGTAGATACAGATCTTTTTTTACTGAGACTTTTTCATTGCCGCCTTGACGTTATACTCCACAGTAACACTTAAACCTGCCCTGCCTGTCAATGCTTCAGGCCTGACCCTGGCTGTTTCTACAGAGCCACGAGGTGAAGCAACACAAACCATTCTAAACTACTGATGAGAAGCGAGAAGACAAAATCAATCTCAATGGCTCCAGATGGTGTAATTGAGCTATATCATCTCAAAGAGTCACACAAAAATAGGTAAAAAACAGACTGACGGATAGACTGAAAGCAATAAAGGCAGGTGACAGACATGGGGAAAAAGCGAACCAGACAAAGAAAGTCAAGAGTTTTAAAAATCGATGTGCGAGGGCAACTGGTCTGCCAGCAAATAAAGAAACTCAACTTCTCTTCTCCTCCTGTATTGTGATTTATCGACAACACAATGTGGAATAAGGTTGTTTGGATATTGAGCTTAGACCCGAAATATAGATTAAACCAAGTTGTCTTTTCTAAATAACTGGAAATGATTTTAATTATGAAACCCTTTTTCTTTTCTTTTCTTTGTTTAATTCATCTGTAGCTTTCATTTGAGTAAGTGTGAGTGGCTATGTGTGTTTGTGTGAGTCCGTATGTCTGCCTGGATGTTTGAAAAGCAAGGCACAAATCTGCAGAGACATTGTTTGAGGCTAAAGAGTTTTGGCAGATGGCGAGATGAAAATAGAAAACAACACTGAAGTAACGGGAGAAAAAGTCCACTTGAAAAAGTCCAGTCTGTGGATTTTCTCAGAATTGGTCCCTGCTGATTTGTCAAACTTTAAAAGTAAAAAAGCTGGGCTCCACAGTTCAGTTCGATAGCTAGACTGCTGTTGATCTAACAGCCTTCAGCCGTTAAAAAGGGATCACATGTTAACGATCCCCAACTGGCAGCAATTGATGAGAATCATTCATAGCTTAAAATCACCTTCAGTTAAAGCTGTAATATGAGACCAAGGGTTCCATAATGCTGGTTGTACCTCGCCTGCTCAGTTTGATTGCACGTTTATTCCACAAAGAAATGTGTTGAAACTTGCAGTAATTTGAAGTGTCTTCTTGAATTTGTCTGAAAAAGCAACACTATCTGAGAATTACCACTTTGCTGTTGTATGCCTCCACCAACCATCAATTATTTGTTTCAGACTCATGTGAGGTCACCGAGACCTTTGACCACTGAAATCTAATCAGTTAATTCCTGAAAGGTGGTCTTGAGATATCATGTGGTCTTGAGATATCATGTGGTCTTGAGATGTCATGTGGACTTGAGATATCATGTTCAAGAGGCGAAAAACATGATTTGTGATCTCACTGGGACCATGACCTTAGACCACCCAAATGTTAATTTATGAGTCAAACTTAATATTTTAGCAAATTGTGAAAGGATTCTTTTGAGGTGTTGATCAGTTTAAAAGTTCACAAGGGTTTTGTGAGGTAACAGAGACTTTGACCTTTGACCACCAAAATCTAACAACTTCATCTTAGAGTCAAAGTGAACATTTGTGCCAAATTCTAAGAAATTCCCTTTTAGCGTTCTTGAGATATCTTGATCACAAGAATGGGACGAACAACCCAAAAACCTCATACCTCCGTTGGCTGTTGCTGGCGCGGAGGCATAAAAATCTGACCACACAGCTTTTATCACTTACCTGGCAGCAATGTATATCGTCCTGTTCATGATCATTATGAGCTGGATGTCCAGTTTGTGCCGCTGTGTGTTGTTCCTGCCAGGTTTGTGGCCTACAAATGCTGGATACTGCTTTGTGTCTGCAAGGAAAAGACAAAAAAATGATTCCAACTTACATAACTTATAAATAAATTAAGGATTTTGGAATTCATGAATTTCAAAGCTTATGTCAGGAGTCTAACAGGTTTTAGGTCAAATGTCAGCCCATGTATCTTATAGCTGGATGAGAAAACGCTGCCACAATGGTTGGCTGAGCTCCTCCTGTGATCATAAATTGGCTAAAAATGTGCCGCATTGTACCATGCAGTCGCTCTATTGTCCGTGACTTTGGCTGAAAGTGCTTGGTTTGAATAAATAGTCTAATAGAGGAGCGGGACGTAGTGAGGGCGGCTGGCTTTTGTTTCAAGCTCTCCTGGCTGCGACATACAACAAATACGCCCGGAGAGGCTAGAATGGGACGGGACAGAGGGAGAGAAACAATGACTATATCTCTATAGCCTGCCACAGCATTACCACTATCACACACAGAATTAGGATTCCAACAGAAAAACAGCAGATTACCCTTTGATGTGGGGCGGGCTCTGTTTCAAATGCTGCTTTAAGTCCTTCAGTTTAAAGACTGTGATGGCCAATCCTCTGCCACCAAATTACACTCCATGCCCTCAAAATGCATTCAGTGTAGGCGGAGGTGGGGGTGGCAGAGGAGGCAGGGGTCGAGAGAAGGAGTGGAAGAGCGAAAGGATAGAACAAGAGACCAAGATACATAAAGGGGGGTTTTGTAAAAAGGAGAAGAGGGAAGAGAAGTGCAGGAGAGGGAGCGAAGGAGGACTTGTGATGAGAGGAGAGACAACGCACAGAAAGAAAGAAAGAAAGGAATAGCATATACTTACAGTTGCCGTGTGAGATGCTAATGGGCTCGCTGTCTTCGGGGAAGCCCGCCCCGGCTATTTGCAGTAGCGTGAAGTAGAGTAACAAGGCCTCTGACCTCATGGTCGCACCAACACTGCTGCTGCCGCTGCTGCTGGTCCTCTGCTACAGATTTTCCTCAGCCTGTGTTAAGTAAGACAAGAGCAGTAGACAAGGAGGAGAGGGAGGTAATGGAGAGGGATGACGAGGAAGAAATGGAAAAGAAAAAAAAGAGAGAAAGTTTATCAAACAAATGTGTTTTCACCTGACTGCATCTTCGATTATTTTCCCTCCTCAGGTTCTGCCTTCATTGTGTGAAACAAAGAAATGCAAAAGCCAGGAGGGAAGCTGAGGAGGGATAGATAAAGGAAAGGTTTAGCCAAACAAATTCAAGTCCACCTAAATTGGGTGTAAGTGCTTTTTGCGGATTGCACAGCTAATTGCAATCTTTCAAAATATATTAATAATAATCTTTTCTTTATATATATACATGCATTTTTGATGACTCAAGTGGGCTGTGTTGCAAGCGAAACAGAATTAATTAGATGAGGTAGGTAATATGCGTCATAGATCAATGTCAGGCAGAGAGGATCTCTGTGCTTCTCTCTCTCTCTGTGACAGTGGAAGGGTTCTTGTTGAGATTAACCTGCTGTAAAGTAGGAGCAGCACCAGGGGATGGGGCTGGATGGCAGGGCAGGTAACTTATTTCCCACTTGTCAGTCTCCTATATCCCCCATGCCAACGCCTACATGCTGATGACCACTACATAAAAACAAGATATTTAAGATTCACCTGGAGGCTTTTCTTGCTGTTCTCTTTATCAAATTAAAGGTTATCTTAAAGGTTATATAGCCTATGTATACAATCCATTAATAAAGCAGCCAAACAGCTATATATACTGGAGTATTGGCACCCTGAGAGGGAATGAAATCAAAGTGACCAGCATTACCAATATCAATGGATAAGTGTAGTACAATGTATATGATCCAAACCATGTGATCCAGGTTTCTCCATTTCTTGTTCTGGTAGCCAGACTCGGTTTTTGGTAGCCAGCAAGGCTGCACCTAGCTTTTATACAGTTTAAGGGCTACACAGAGCGCAGCACAGCGATGCCGACCATGCTAGCCGTGCTAACTAACTGCAACTGTGCATCCTCAAAAGGTCAGAATTGCAGAGTTGTGATTCTGTGTGTTCATGTGCTTGGAAATCAGAATGTGGAAAAAACATGGACGCTGTAGACAAAATGTGTATTCATGTGTATTCTTTATATATTTGCATAATTACGAAGAGCAAAGAAAAAGGATCAGATGTGACTCAGTCATTAAAACCTTTAAATGCCAAGTGTATACTCAGTATAATTGTGATGACTGTCCATTTCCTGTTTTTCTTATATACCTTTAAATCCTGGAAAACAGGATGTCCTCAACAAGGTTATTTTCTAGTGTAATGTTTTCCTACAGAAGTGGATTTTATAGCAGATGCCCTAAATCGTGTTGATCTAATGTTTTCATTGTACAGACCGTGGCAACTGAGCTTTCCCTACTGCAGTTTGTGACAACAAATTACTCCCATAAATCACCCAAGACAATTATTGCGTCTGTAATCTAATCAAGAATAAAGCATTTAATTTGCATAAAACACCTTTTTTTCTGTCTATCCAAAGCTGTAGGGGTGAGATGTTGCTGGGTAGATAGAGCAGGGGGGATGCTTCAGGGTTGAAGAATTGAATAAAATAGTCTATTTCATTTTCTCCAGTCTGATAAAAGTTGTTTATCCCATGCTGTATTCTGATTCGCTATTGTACGTCCGATGTGGAACGAACAGGGGGGAGGAAGGAGGGAGAAAGAGAGAGAGAAAGGGAATTACTTTCTCTTTTCTTTGTCATGTCTCTCTCCCTCCCTCTCTCCCACTCTGTCTCCATGCTCCTGTGAATCTCATTCAGGGGAGGAATGAAAACACTATTCACTAGGAGAATCACTTTAACACTGAGGAGAATACCAATACTAAAGCCTGGATACGACCTTGATCTCACAAGCCGTCTCTGTTGCCCTCCCTGCTTCCTCACTCCTTGGCTTATTCCTCTTATACCGAACTCTATGTTTTTTGAAAAGAAAAATACCAAAATGGATTTTCCCACCACACTCTCACCTTTATCATACAGCAAAGGTTGACTGAGCTGCACTTGCACCAAGAAATTCCAGATTGGAAATGAAAAAAATTGGCTTTTTTTTGCTCTCTGCATACAGTACGGCGAACCACTGTGGACGGCTGAAATATTTCTCTGCTGAACCTTGACCTGGAAGTCCTCCAGTAATTGACTGATTGATGAGCAGGAAGTGGCACGAGGCAGAGAGGTTAGCCCTGAAGGAGCTAACACGGTGAATGACGGATGGAGGTTGTACTGACCAAGAAAGCGAGATGTGGTTTTGCTCTAAACTGGAGTCAAATAAATGGGAATAACTTTGAAATGACAGTTTTAGATAGAGCTTACCCACAGTGTGTCAGAATCAAATGAGAAACTGCAATGGCTGCTTCTTCCATCTGTACAGATGATGGGCTGTTATTACCGCCACCAAGGAGATTATGTTTTCATCTGGGTTTGTTTGTTTGTGAGCAGAATTACACAAAATCTTAGTGCAAAACTTTGTGAAAGGTGTATGGGTCAGGGAAGAAAGTTGGTAGTGGATCTAGGTCAGTGGTCAGATCCAGGATTTATTTTTACTTTCTTAAACATTGTGTGAAAAGGCGTACAAAGGGAATAATTCATGTATCAAGGTGAAAAAAAACCTGTTGGACCTTGCCAGAGGTATGTGCTCTACGGAGTGCTATTCTAGTTGTTTGTTGAAAGTATTCTTAGATTTTTAATCATACTCCAGATATTTATGCTGCATGTGTCTAGAATCAGTGACTGCTGAAGGCAAAGCACATCCTCCATCTATATGAGTGAGTCGTAACAGGTTGCTAAAATCTGTTAGTCCAACCATCTCACACTGCCTCCTGTGATACACAAAATAAATTGAGCACAAAATTGCTTAAGTGAAACCCCTAAACCTTCCAGTGGCCCTTTTATTACCAGCTGCCACACGTGAGTAACAGGAGGGCGCGAGACACAGTCTGTCTTTACCGTATTACGCTCTTTTTATGGAGGAGCAAATTGCTTCCTTGTGTGTGTGCGTCTGTGAGTGTGTGTTGATTTCTGAACAAAAACATCACTTTGTACACACACACACACACAAACAGAGAGTGTCAGAGAAACACACACACGCACAAAGCAACAGAGAAACATACACACACTAAGAACATAAGAATCCAGGTATCGATGCTTAAAACATGTCTTTAAACTCCAGCAATAAACTATCCACTTCCAAATGCCACACAAACACAGGTGGAAGTGTGTGGATTTCCTTTCTTATCATAACCCCCCCCCCACACACACACACACACACACTTTCAGTGAGGTAGGTGGTTGTGCATGCATGTGTTCATACATGCATGTGTGTGTTTGCGTGTTTGTAGCAGAAAGAGGAGAGAGGGTAGAGTTAATCAAGCTAGATGCTGGCAGGGGGCTGCCAGCAGGTAATAAAAACACACAGACCTCCACCCCAGAATCCCTCTGCATGTTTCCCACCTTATGAATAACTCTACACACTCGGTCACATTGTATCCTTGCTAGAAGAAAATACACTCTGCTAGAAGAATTAAAAAACATGAACTCAAACGATATCATACATTCTTTTAACCCAAAGCAGACAGACAATCTCTAACACACATCAACTTTCTCTCCTAAGACTGAGCAGCCCCATGGGGCCAGCCAACCCAGGGTGCATTAGCTTCAACAATAAACATATTATCAGGCCTAATGATGTCATTACTTAGCTGTTGTTGCTCGCAGCTAAATAACACACATTTGTTAAAGTGACAAGGTCAGCCACTGTGGGCTTCAGGTGAGGACAAGGAAGGAAGTGTTAGCTAACATGTGGCCACATGTTTAGTTTACGAGCACAAACTAACAGAACAGCTGCCCAGACGCACATGCTGAAGCCGAACACACAACTAGTAAATCTCTACAAGGTCCCAGCTATTCATTTCCTGAAGGCCTCCGCTGTGCCAGCCATCACACCGTGCAAGACTAACATTTAATTAAATCAGGGTAGACCTGTTGATGATAGACAAACTACAGTATCTGTTGTTTCAGCAAAGTGCCCCGAAACAGCATATGTTTACACTCTAGTGGCAAAGCCTCATCCATCGGGAGAGAAGTTAGTGTGGTGTCCGTATCGAAGGAGACGCTGGTCAGGGTGGATGGATAGGTCAGTCAAAATTTAGACTTTGATGTGTTCATTCAGTCATTTTTATTTATTTCGAACACATACATTAAAAAAGAGGAATTAATTATTATAAAAATCAAACACTTACTGATTTAATCTCACTCTCTATGGAGTGAGAAGAAGTACAAACTTAACTGATGTGATTCAATGTCTTGTGTTAGTTTTCACGTATCTTACAGTGTTGGTTTCTTTAACCATCAAATGGCTGTTTCATTAACTTTAACCAAGTGGTTCTTATTATTATAACCATGATGTCGAAGGTTACTAAATAAAAAAGTGATACTAAATTCTATAATTAACAAGTTACATATTTTGAATGGCTGCTACATATAGAAGTGTCTTTACATAGCACATCTTTGTAGAATTGCTGACCTGTGTGTTAGTTCTGTTATATTGAATATAAAGTATTCAAACATGTCATTGCCAGACGCTGTAAAAAAGTGGATGATAGACTAGTCAGGAGGAAAGAGCAGCAATTGTAAATGCTGTGTGACAGTTCTGATACGAGTGCACCTTAAATGTGTTTATATTTGGAAGTCTGGGTAATGTCCACAGATTGGTGCTGAAGGTTTTACAGATGACAGGAATGCCAAAGAGATGGGGCAGCTTACTGGCAATGTGCTGTTACATGTCTGTGTGTATTTGTAGCCCGTCAACACATTAGGTGGAGGGGCTGTTATTTTTATCTTTAATTGAAATGATGTAACAGAGGGTGCACGTAGAATAGCATGCACCATACAATTTTGGTGTATGACGTCTCATGAGGAAACAGGATTTTCCCTGCTGCTGGCCACAGACCTCACACCTTTCCCATGG